AGACCAAACATCCAGAGCTTTCAAATAAAGCCAAGCAGTGCCTTATCTTCTGTCCCAGAGGATATTATGGCTTTCCTGCCATGGCAGGGGGTTGGAACTGGATGGTCTTTAAGGCCTTCCAACCCAAACAATTCTGGCATTCCGTGATTTCCTCCGTGGTTTCTTGGCAAGGCTCTGAATGGTCCCCCAGGACTGCAGGGCTTGTGCCACCCCCAGGCCCCAAACACACCTGTGGTCGGTGCTGCCATGTCCAAACACACCTTGCAGACCCCAAAATCCCTCCCTCTTGAGTAGATATCAGCAGGGACAAGTCACTCCCCTGCCAACACGAGCAGTTTTCCTGGGTGTGTTCCCAAGGGCAGGGACAGGGAGAAAAATGGTGCCCAGGGAAGGGGGGCTGCCCCTGGATCCCTGGAAGTGCCCAAGGCCAGGTTGGACAGGCCTTGGAACAACCTGGGCTGGTGGAAGGTGTCCCTGCTCCTGGCAGAGGTGGAATAGGATGGGCTTTAAGGTCCCTTCCCACCCAAACCAGTCTGTGATTCCATGAAAAAATGATAAAGGGAAACAAAAGCAGCTTCCTTCTGAAGCAGAGTTTCCCATGGGGACACCAGGCACCGTCTGGTTGCCAGGGAAAACCCAAAGGAGGGGTTTTCCACCCCTGGAGATGGAAGGAGCCCTGGCAGCACCTGAGCCAGGGCCAAGGCGAGGCCAGCAGCCCTGGGGGATGTGGCAGGGCGAGGGCAGCTGTGGTTCATCCTCCCTTTGTTATAAGCACAGCTCCACATTTAGCTCCAGGCTGTGATCCCAGCTGGCTGCAGCCCAATTCCCTCTGGGACACAGCCTTGGGACACCAGCCCTGGGGTCAGGGGTCTGAGGGGGCTCCGGGGCTGGATGGGCAGTGGCAGAGCTGGGGGGGTGTCAGGGGGAGCAGGGTGGGTTGGACTCACATCCAGGTACTCGTCCAGGCCCAGCTTGGTGAACTCGTACTGCAGGTGCACTCGGAAGTTCATGTCCTCCACGGAGTGCACCACGATGTTGATGAACTGCATGCAGGCCACCTGCAAGGACAAACACAGAGTGACCCCCAGCTGCCCCACACGGGGGTGGGAACGGGTTCTCCAGAGCGGGATCTCCAGGACCGCGGCCACACACTTCCATGTGGTTACCACCAGGGGAAAACCACGAGCTGCTATTCTGAGATGGTTTGTTTCCAAGCCAAAGCGCTTGGATTTTGTCTGCTGGGAGGGAGAGAGGGAAACCCACGAGTTCCAGGAACTGAGTCACGTCTGCGAGCCCACCTTGCCGGCGTGCCGGTGAGCGGGAACGCTGCCCTGCCGGCTCCCAGGGCCAGAGCACACATCACACGAGCTCTAAAGAAAACACTCTTGTTCCTGAAACTGCCTGGAAAAGGGAGATTAATCCGGGGGGACCGGAACCCCCAGTTCAGGAAACGGGACTCGCTTTGTTGGGTGCCCAAAGCACGTCCCCAAAGCTGTGGGTCAAGGATCAGATCACTGGAATTGGCAGCCACACGTGTCCCAGCACACCCACGGGAAGGCAAATGCTCCTCCTCGCCAGGAAAACCTGTGGGGGGGAAGCAATCGGGGTGGAAACCCCAAAAAGTTTGTCCTTCCCCAGAATGTAAGGCCAGGCCTCGTCCCGCTCTGCACAAGCACTCCCAGCTCCCTGGAGATCATCTGTCACCCTCTGAGCTGCCCCAAGAGAGGCTTTGCCTCATCCTTGCTGGGTTTCTCAAGGACACAACCCCCTCCTGCAAGCAACACTGCAACAGGGATAATTCCACTTCAGTGAGGCTGAGAGACTGCTGAGAGGGACAAACCCAAGGAGCAAAGGAAGGAGGATGGTCCAAAAACTCATCCAGGAGCTCCTGGGATGGACCATCCCAGCCCTTGGTGTGTTCCCCACCTCCCACACAAACAGCTCCATCCCTGCAGCTGGAAACCTAAACCCAGGTTCCAATCCATGCTCCTGGAAACCAAACTCCCCTAATTCCAAGGGTGGCTTTGTGATCCTTGCTGTGGCCCTCGCAACATCAGGGCCAAATTCTCATTTCCTTTCCCAAATCCTTACATACACAACTAAGGAATTTCTCCTCCAGCTCCAGGTTTGTCCTGCACTCGAGCCCCTGGCTGGTGGAGCAGCCCAGAGATGCAGATTTTCTTAATGTTTGGGCAAGTCCTTAAAAAAAAACCATATTCATCCTTTTTCAAGCAAATCTCAATGCAATCTTCAACCTATGAGAGGAGGAGGGAATTTTCTTCCAGGCTGCCCACACGGATGTGAATATTCCCAGCTCTCCAGTCTTGTGTGGACACTCACGCAGATTCCCTGTTATATCCTTACAATACATCATTTAACACCTTAAATAAAGGTGATGATGATGGGACAAGAGGAAATGGTCTCAAGTTGCTCCAGGGGAGGTTTAGGTTGGATTTAAGGGAAATTTTCTCCATGGAAAGGTTTGTCCAGCCCTGGCACAGCTGCCCAGGGCAGCGGTGAGTCCCCACCCCTGGAGGGATTTCAAAGCCCTGTGGATGTGGCACTTGAGACAGGGGCCAGTGGTGGCCTTGGCAGTACTGGGGGAATGGTCTGAGAGGGCTTTTCCAACCCAGATGGTTCTGGGATTCTCTAATGGATGATTTCTTTTCTCTAAAAAGTGGACAAAGCCCACAGTTCCAGCGAGGTGGCTCAGGCTGCTTCCAGGCTGCTTCACTCCCACTCCCCAAATTCCATTATCCCTCCCAGTGAGCACAGAAAAAACGACTGAGAAACCTTTCTGTTAAATTACAGACTGACTACTCCATGTATCCTGTGCCTACCACCGTGTCCTTGCAGGGACACCGATGCAGGAACAAGGAACAAACCGAACCCAACACGTCAGAGCTACTGAGAGCGGCTGTTCAGCTGAGTTAAAATGCAGGGATCACTCTAATTTTCTCTTTTTCAACCCAAGAAATCTGCCATCCTGGCTCAAACTCACCCCACCTCCTTTTTATCCTGCTGCTCCCCTGGAAGCCACTGGCACGGAGCATTCCGAGCCTGGAGGAGACACCCCAGCGGGTGCTCTGACACCTAATTCTTGGCAGAAAAAGATCTTTTAACGCGAAGTTCAGCACTAAAACGGTTTCAAAGTGTCACAGATGGCTCACAGAGGCCTCAAAAAACCAGCTGGGGTGGGAATTCCTCCTGCTCTGCTCCCACCTCGGGCTGGGTGAGCCCTGAGCAGGAGCAGTGCCAGGGAGATCTTCCCTAATTAAAACACGTGACTTTAATTTCTCCCATTTCTGACACACACAAAAAAAACCCCCAGACCCAGGGGTATTTTTGGCAGCAGACACATCCTCCCTGCCACAGCCTCCCAACGTGATGCCAACGTGCTGGTGCCTGTGCCAGCCAGAGCTTCCCCTCTCCCTGCCCCCTCCCCGTGCTCGGGGGGAAGTGGCTTTGGTGAGCAGACCATGCAGATGCACGCTGAGGAACCACAAGTGGTGCAAGCCACCGCTCTATTTATGGGCAGATAAGGACAGGCAGCAGCTGCAGGGAGCCTCTCCCACACTTCCCCGTCTGGGGCTGCCAGGATTTTGGCACAGGGACAGCGCTGGACGTTGCAGAAGCTGCTGTGAGAGAGCACGAGGGGCCCCTTCCCTCTTACCTTCACTGGGGCACAGGGCACTTCTGGAGCAAAAGTGAAGGGGGAGCTAAAAATGAAAGGCATTTGGAAGGTAAATAATCGGGCTGTGGCGTTTTAGGCCCGGGATGAGGAGGCAGACACAGTTGAGGCACAGGAAACTCTGGAATTAGGAGTTGCTGGGGGTCAGTGCCACTCACCATGAAGTCTATGTTGTTGTCCTCGTTCCTGAAGTGCTCCATGAGCTTCTCGAAGCGCTGCTTCTCCCCACACACCTACAAAGCAAGCACCACACCTCTGGTCAGCCACAGCTTGGGTAAAAAAAAAAAAAAAAAACATGGAAAATGCAGATTTTCTGCTCGTTCAAAACCTCTTCATCCAGCTCTTCATCAAAAAAAAATCCAGCTGAATAATTCTCTGTCAACACCTGCAGCGCGAGTCTAAGGACTCAGGTACAATTATTATATAGATTTAAGTATAAAACAGCTCTTTGTGAATCTTTTCCCCCCCCAAAATTTCATCATTCTCAGTGTAAGAGTTGCACCAGGCCACGCCACAAGGAAGGCTCAGCCCCCCTCCTGGCTCTGCACTGTAATATCATGTAATTAGGAAGAAAAGCAAATTACAGGGAGGACACAGGGAAAATTATCCCTGGCTAAACAAGGGGTGAAAATACATCAGTGCGACAGTCAGGGTTGCAGAGCTGTAGCACGGGCTGCTGGCAGGAAACAAAAGCAACTTGGGGGAGAGAGAAGATCTGAGATAAAGCAGCTCTCAGGATCTTAATATTCCCAGTAGCTTCTCTGGCTCGGTCCTGCCTTTCTTAGCACACAAAGGACCTGGAGTAATCCCCAAAAAGCCAAAAAACTAAGTTGGGAAGGACACTTCCCATCCCTGGCAATGCTTGAGGAGCACCCTGGTTTAATGGAAGGTGTCCCTGCCCATGGAAGGAGGTTTAAGCTTCCCTGTTTTCAGAGGGGCAGAAGAAGCCCTGAAAGAAGTTGTTTTCCTCTTAAAGGTTGTGGAAAACAGATTGCAATCATCTGGAGGACTGAAAGTTCCCTTCTGCTGTGGAACAAAACCCTTGGTGAGCCCTGGGCTTGCTGAAGTTGTGTTTCAGTGTTTCCAGCTGAACCTTGAAGCCTCAGCAGGTAAAATAAAAGCTCAAACAACAAAGAACCTCATGAGAAAGATATTGTATCTGTTGCTCAAGCAGATTATCCTGATTTTAAACCCAAAGGACTCATCTCTCCCTGCAGCCCCTGGCATGAAAGTGAAGCATCAAACACTTTTCCATGGGCTGCTCCACTAAAACCCAAAAACCCACACACTGAGGTCTAAAACAGAGCAAAGCAGACCCACTGTGGGATGGAGGAAGACTCTGGTGAAGCACAAACGACCTGTCTGATGGGATCCCACAGGAAAGGATGGGGGGAGTTTGGAGAGCACCGCCCTTCTGGTTGTAAATCTCCAGTCTAATCTCAGGCCTTTGTTGAGCAGCAATCCTTGGAAAGCCTTCCTGCAGCACCAGGAACGGGAGATCAAAGCCCAAACCCCCCCCACAGCTCACTGATGGTCAGAGCAGCTCCAAGCAAAACCCAGGGCAAGGGATGTGGCCGAGTTTCAGGAAGCCCCTGGCAGTGCAGGGATCAAAGGCAGCAGCTGCCCCACGAGATCATTTGATTTGGGAGGCGTGGGCTGGGCTGGATCCAACCCCTGCTCCAAGCAAAGCCCAGGAACCCTCTCCTTCATCACTCCTTGACTGCACTGTTTTATATCCCACACAATTTTTCCCTGCTGGAGGAAAATTAGGAGCGACCTGGGCTGGTGGAAGGTGTCCCTGCCCGTGGCAGGGGGTGGAATGGGATGGGTTTTTAGGTCCCTTGCAACCCAAACCAGCCTGGGATTCCACAATTTCTCCTGTACCCACATCACAAAAAAACAGAGCTGATTTAACCAAAACCCTGGATGGTGGAACCAAACAGAGCAGTGGTGCACATGATCCCACACCAACGAAGCCAGAAGGACTGATTTCTGGGAAATCCAACGCAAACCATTCCACAGGGACGAGAAAAGCTGACACAAACAACTCCCAGCCATTTAGGGCTGACTAATTAAATGAGGAGCAGCCCAGAGTGCCCTGGCAGAGCAGATCCCGGGATAGAGCAGCCCTGGCTGGCTGGGATACAGCAGCTGGGGAAGAGGAAAAGCAACAACCACCTGTGGCTTTCGGTGGCTGCTCCCAGATAGCTCCCACTGCGCCGGGATGAGCTGGCTGCGTTTGAGGAGGCAGCAGAACTGACTTTCCCCAAATGATATAATTTATCCTGGAAGATTAAAGAGAGAGAAGCTGGGGCTGGAGCCTCCAGCCTGAAGGCTGGCCCAGAGCCAAGGAGAATGCTGAAATCAAATCCCACCACATAAAACCATATGTTGCCATTTCTATCGGAATAAATTCGCGAGGCCTGTCATTTGGAAACACGGCTGGGCTGAGGAGAGGCAGAGCTTTCCTTTATTGGCTTGACTCTGGCTAAGGAGCAAGATTAAACGAGTCACCACAGCTATAAAAACCCTCTGTCTCTGCTTGGGCTGTGAAAAAACCCCACTTTAGGTCACATTAAGCCCACATCATTCTGGAAGAACAATGTGGCTTTATGGAAAGCCACCCACGGAGGGTCCTTCCTCCGGGTGCTAACGAAGGAAATCCAGCATGGATCCATTACAGAGCCACAACTCAATCCTGTAAGGAAGCAGAAGGATCTGTTATGAGAAGTTCAGTGAGGATTGCATCCATATCCACCTGGCAGCGGTCACACAGTTCCCATCCAGACCACCCAAGAGCAAAGCTCAACCACGACAACCCTCGCGCCGTTCCTGCTCTCGGGGCCGGATCACTGGAAGATGCTCCGGAATCACGGAATGGTTTGAGGGGGAAAGGACCTTAAAGCCCATCCCATTCCACCCCCTGCCATGGGTAGGGACACCTCCCACCAGCCCAGGCTGCTCCAAGCCTTGTCCAGCCTGGCCTTGGACGATCCCAGGGATGGGGAGTCCCCAACCTCTCTGGGCACCTCGAACGGCAACCTGGGCAGGGAGCAGCAGACAGGGGGATTTGGGAAAACTGAAGATGTTTTCAAGTGCAGTGTCAGGCAGAAGGTGAAACCCCTGGGCTGCTGGAAGCACATCCATCACCCTCCCACCCCAGACACTCATGTGACAACAACACCCCAGTTCGCTGGAGAATGGAACTTGGAACTGAACGTCACCACAAGCAGATCCAGCGTGTTCCACATGGAGAGGGCAGCAAATCCAGGCAGGATTCCTGAGACACAGCTGCCAGACTGTGAACTCCTCCACATCTGGAGGACTGTCCTGGTGACAGGACGAGGAATGGCTTTAAGCTGAAGGAGGGCAGGGACAGATGGGATATTGGGAAGGAATTGCTGGCTGGGAGGGTGGGCAGGCCCTGGCACAGGTTGGGCAGAGAAGCTGTGGCTGCCCCTGGATCCCTGGAAGTGTCCAAGGCCAGGCTGGACAGGGCTTGGAGCAACCTGGGCTGGTGGAAGGTGTCCCTGCCCATGGCAGGGGGTGAGATGAGAAGAGATTTAAGATCCCTTTCAATCAGGAAACACCTGGTGGTCCCAAACTCCAGGCAGAAAATGAAACCCTCTGGTTGCAGTTCCCCTCGAGCTGAACTCAGCACCCCAAGGCAGGAAAACAACCCTTTGATGAAGCAAATTTAAAACCCCTAAATTGTAGGAGAGGCTTTGCAATACAAGACACGTTCTGTCAGTGCCAGTGTTAAAATGACCTCCCCAAAGGTTGTTTTAAGCTTCTCCTCCTCCTTCAGTAACTCCCAGAGCGAGAGGCAGAGCAAAGGCAGACGAACCCAGCCCGTACTGGGTGTGCTGTCACACTCAGCCTGATGGATCTGCAGCCCCCAAATCCCTGGGAGCCTCTGTGCCCCCTTGTCCTGCCTGTGGCCCTTTGTCCAGCAGCACAATGCTGGCTTTCTGTCCCCCACAAGAGCCCAGTGTGAGCAGCAGCTCCCACCGCCAGCCCACGACACTCCACAGGGACGCTTTGTTTGCCCTCCCCGTGCTGACATCCCTGCGCTTCGCTGGAGGACAAAAAAATCCCTTTTCCCGGAAGTTCCTGGTTAAGCAAACAGTTATTTAACGCTTTACTAGGTTAAAATACCTTTTACTTCTCCCCAGCAGGGTTAAGTCGCTCTCAGAAGCCAACAAACAACAACTGCATTTACATTTTCCAGCACTCACAAACAGCTTCTTCCAGCACGAGTTACTCTGCTGGTCCACAAGGATAGTTCAGAAAGTGCTGTTTGCAGCGCTGCCATTCATTATTCCAACAGGGAAATCTGGCTCTGGATTAAGCCCTCTGAACAATCTTGGTTCCCTTCAGCGTCGTGAGAGCTGATGGAGGGGCACGATGGGGTTTGTTTGCAGGGCCCCCACCCTCCAGCTCCCTGCCCGATTCCCAAGCATCCAAAGGCCTCTGAGGGCTCAGAATTCATGGCCATAACCAGGTGATGTGTGAGAGGACTGAGATTCTCCTCATCTGCCAGACATTCAAGAGCAGCAAATGTCCAGAGGAGTTGGGGCTGACCCATCCCTGGAAGTGTCCAGGTGGCTCCAAGCCCTGTCCAACCTGGCCTTGGACACTTCCAGGGATCCAGGGGCAGCCACAGCTTCTCTGCCCAACCTGTGCCAGGGACTGCCCACCCTCACAGGGAAGAAATTCTCCCAGGTATCCAACCTAAATCTCCCATCTTTCAGTTTGAACCCATTCCCTGTGTCCTGCCACTGCAGTTCCTGATCACCAGCCCCTCTGTGGGCCCTTCAGGCACTGGAAGGGGCTCTGAGGTCTCCACACAAATTCCATTTTCAGCTGAAAAATCTCCCTTGACAAGAACCAAACCCTTCTCTCATTTCCATCTGAGCAAAGCTCAAAGCCCAGTGAAACATCTGATGTCCACCCCGATGGAAATGAGAGCAGAGTTCGGTGCTAAATATCCTGTTTTCCCTCCTGACTTTATTAGATTTTATTAGGCAGGAGTTCAGCTTTCTTTTGAAGTTATTTCATGGCAAGGAGATGGAGTGGCAGAGATCTAATTCAACGACTCAAATCTGCCCTAAATATGCATGAAAGCACCGTGGCAGCCCCGAAATGCAGAGCTGCTGCAGCAGCCACACGAAGATTATGGAGCTCAGAGCAACTTAAATTGGATGTGCAGGGCTGGAAACCCAAGCCTGGGTACCTGACTTGTCAGCAACTCGAGGGGTTTGGAACATAAAAGTGAAAACTTGAAACCATTCCCAAAAACTTGCCCAGGAGGAAGGTGGAAAACAACGGCACAGAGCAAGAAATGAGCAGCGTAGCTGGGTGAAAAGAGCAGCTCAAGGCAGAACTGAGACAGGGGGAGAGCATCCAAAAGCAGAACTGAGGAAGAAAAGAGCAGTTAAATACAGAACTGAGGAAGGTAAATCCCCTCCCTGACCTCACTTCACCTTCAACACCCGGACAGTTCCACCTTCACTTCCTCAAACCCCACAGAACGGAATGAATAACTAATTCCACACAAACTGAGTGGCTTCCACGGGAATATTTGTGTCAGCAGGAGAGGACAGAGCACCTGGAAGGTCATGAAGGAGCAAAACCTTGCCTGAGGATGTCAGGAAGGTAAGAAAGTGCCTGGGGTTTCCACATCCTTCCCTGGGATGTGTCCAATGAGCACCACAGGTCGTCCCATCCCGTGGGATTTGGCTGCAGCCACTGTTTATCCCCAACCCCTCACACCTGTCCTCCCTGGAGAGCCCTGTTCCTTCCATAGCAGAGCAGGAAAACCCAGGAGAATTTAACCCTGGACTAACAATTGTGATCTGCACATTAACAGAGCTTTTCCCACTCAGAGCCCTCCTCTCAAATTGTTCTTCCCAACCCCCCCTGCATTTTCCTCCTGATCCCTCGGGTTCCCAAAGGTGCAAACAAAGACACAGACGAACCAATGGAAGACCCAAACCACAATTCCCAGTTTTTGCCTGCACTGGAGCTCTCCAGACCCTTCCCCAATTCCCGTTTTCTGCGCGTCCCTCCTGCCGGTGTCACCCCCAGCGAGGCTCTCTCCGTGGTCACACAATTCCCAACCCAAGTTCCCCTTCCCAGCCGTGCTATTCCCATTCCCTCTGCCCTCAGGACAACCTTCCCACAGCCAGGGCAGATCTGGACTTGCACTTCCCTCATTTACCCACAACGTGCAAATCCTTCCGAGGTCAGAGATTATTCCCCAAACGCAAAACATCAACAAATTACCAACTTGGCTCCTTGATCATCTGCATTGACCCACTTACAGCTTGAAGGAAACACACCCTGTGTGTTTATATGTCCAGTTGGGACTCATCAAATCCAACAGCTCTGGAGCTGGGGAGTCTAATTTATTCATCTTTAATTTGATATTAACCCCACACACATATCCAATATCCAAAGGAAACTAGCACAGCAGCTTTCTAGGACTTGCTTCCCCCACCAGTGGCTCCAAACATTCACACAGTATTCCCAAATCCTTTCACCCACTGCGTGCAAACCTGAAAACACACCTATAAGTGACACCTGAGCCAAGTGGAACTCCTGGGTGAACTCCAGCGGTCGCTGTGATTGACACAGACTCGATTCTGTAATTTCCACACAAACAAAAGTTCCCTCTGAGGGTAAATCCAGGAACTTTGTGCTTCAAGGGCGTGTGGAAATGGCTTTGGAAATGGGAGATGTGACACAGCGTTCCTGGTTGTTTCAGAGATGGAGTCAAGCTTCCAAAATGCCCCAAAATTATGAGACACCATTTGGCTGGGCAGAGGGGGCTCAAATTCCCAGCCTGGATTCACCCTGTTGGAATCACAGCTCTTCTCCACAGACAAGAAAATGATGGAATGGTCACCACTGAGCTGCTCTGCCCCTCCAAGGAAAAACCTGCGGTTCGTGGCAAATCCTGACTCAAAGCAAAATTCATTTCCAAATCACGGGAATTCAGCTGGATGAGAAGGCTCCAGGCAATCACAACAGAGGGAATAACACCCAAATGACATGAAATAGGCCGAGGTACCTCCTTGAAGTTATCAAAGGCTGACAAGATGATCTCGTGTCCCCCTCGGACGAGGCAAACGGCTGCCAGGAGCTCCAGGACAAGGGCCTTGGTCCTGGGGAGAGAGGAGAAGGAGACACTCAGTGACCAGCACCTGCTTCCAAACCCGTGGGAGAACGTGGGAGAGGGAGCTTCATCCCCTGTGTTTTTAATCCCTTTGAGTTAATAAACCTGGGAGATGCACACCCCTGATCCAGGGAATGTGGCCTCTCCTGGGATCATGAACTCCTCCCCCAGAACATGCAGGGATTCAAACCACAACTGGGAAACTCAAGCGAAAAAAAAAAGGGTCATTGCAGAACTCTGGGATAAACAGATCCCTGACAGCTCCTGCTCCTGGAGAACTGCCCTGCACCCCCCTGGGGGAGGCAGCTCCCCACCCCCAGCTGGCCCCCTCTTTTTAAGGGGAGTGTTTGTAATTCCAATCTGCATCTTTCCTGGCACAAATCTGAATATTCTCTGTTACAATCTGTGTTATTCAGAGCCCCCTCCCCACACACACACACACAGAGTTCACTGCAGGAACACAGGATGCCCCCTCAGCACGTCCTCCTCCTTAGGAATCAGAAATCAATCTGCCACAGAGAGAAAACACCAGATCACTGGGAGAAAACCATGCAGCAAAACTGGGTGTTACCCTAAGGAAAATAAATCCACAGTATTTCCTTACAGGATTCGTGGAAAGCAAAAGATTTCCTGGCCAGCTGAGCTCTGAGCAGAGCAAAACCATGCAGACACATAAAATTAGTCTCATGCCAAAGCAGCGCCTCAAACCAGATGTTACAGAACCAGAAATACCTTTTGGCTTTCAAAGGGTCAGGGTTATCTTTGGGAACCACATAAAATGTTCACTTCCCTAGGAAATTTTAAATGGGTCATGTTCAGGTCTTACTCGTCGAGGGGGGTTTGTTCAGATGGGGTCAAGGAGCTCTTGTGTGGATCTTCAGGAATATCCCATCCCAGGGTGGGTTAGGAGGGGCTGTGGGGGCGGGGAGAGGGGGATCTCTGGGATCAGAGGGATCCCCAGGTGCACCCCACACGTCTGGGATGGGGACAGGGAGAGGACACTTCTGGTTGTGCCTGTGGGATCCATTTGGGAAGAACCAGAGGAGAGGGAGTCCCCACAGTCCCCCTCCACCTGCTGCCCACTCAGCTCCACAGGGGGAATGGGATCAGCTCCACATCCCATTCCCACAGCTGCTGCTTCCCCTTGGCACATCTCGCCCACCCTAAGCCCTCAAACCTCTGGGGGCTGAACCAAACACAGCCTGGGGTTTGGAACAGCACTCACATCCACTTTGGTCCTCAGATTATTTCAGTCACATTTTAAAGCCAGAAATGGAAATAACCCACTTGTTTCAAAACTGAAAACGTGGGATGTCCCTCGACCACCTGAGCCCCAGGCATGTCCTTCCTATTTATCTGTGCATTTATTTGCTGACTCAGGGCTGAATAAAAGGAAAGGAAGGAAGTTCCTGTTTCCACCAGGACGAGGTTTGTGCTGTCAGAGCAGAGCCCACCCCGAGCCAAGGCCCTGTAAACACACACATAGTTTTGTTTTAGTCATCTCACCCCCCAGTTCTACCTTTCCCTGGAAAAATGTCTTATGCCAGGTTTGGTTTCCTTAGACAAGGAAAGATGAGAACTCCTGGATCTGCTGGAAGTGGCTGCTGGGATCACAAGGGTGGGAGAGGAGGGACAGGGATTCACAGCCAGCAGTTCCACTGGGGAGTTACAGGATGGAATTACAGCAACCTGACCCAGGACAGGAGTGAAACTCTCCCAAGGAAATTCAAACCTAAGGATCCTTGGATAACATTTCTAAGGAAGATCTTCCCCCTCTTCAGGGAAACCCCCCGTTAAGCTGCTCATTATCAGGGGGGTTTCTTTGCACTGCAGCAGAGCTGAGGGGCTTCAGCAGCTGAATTTCAGCTGGATCCCAGAATCCCAGAATGGTTTGGGTTGGAAAGGGACCTTAAAGCTCATTCATCCCACCCCCTGCCATGGGCAGGGACACCTTCCACCAGCCCAGGTTGCTCCAAGCCCCGTCCAACCTGGCCTTGGACACTTCCAGGGATCCAGGGGCAGCCACAGCTTCTCTGCCCAACCTGTGCCAGGGGCTCACCTCCCTTCCAGGGAAGAATTTCTCCCCAGTATCCAACCCCAATTTCCCCCCCTTGTCAGTTCAAAGCCGCTATCAAAGCTGCAGAACCAGCAGCTCCGGAACCCACTGGAATTCGACGACGACTGCTCATCCACCTGCACCATTATACAGACTTAATCTGATTTTTGCCACAGGTTTGAGCACAAACACACCCTTTTGAAGGTGAAAACCCCCTTCCCAGGTCCTCTCTACTTACCTACTTGTCAAACCATCAAAAAGCAGGTGCACCTACCTGGGGTTCTTGTTGTTCAGACTCAGTGCAATCTCATTGACAGCGTGGGGGTGGGACATCACCATGTTGAACCCGTACTGGGGAGAGAAGGGAAAGTTCCTGCTTCAGTCCTGACACCCACATTGTTACCCAGAAACCCAACAAATCCCATCTGCCTGACCAGACCCCCGGCAGTTTTTTAAGGCAAGCAAAACCTCGTGGAGCTTACTGGTTAAACCGAAATATTTCATTCTCACACCATTCCTAAAAACTTCCAGCTCTGGGTATTCCACGATCCTACAATTCCCTGCCACTGGCAGTGTTGAAAATACTTGTTTTGGCCATGTCAGCCAACAAAAAGAGGTCTAAGAGCTGCTCCTACATTATTTCCAACCCCTCTGCTTGTCCTTTTCTCCCTCCAGCCCCTTTTTAACCGTGGCAGTCGAGTGCATGATTTACTCCCCGAAGAGGAACTTGAAGTTCAGCTGCCAAAAGCAGCTGTTGCTCTCCAAAAATGAAAACAGAATTCCTTTGGAAAATACTCCACGGGTTATTAGGATCGTGGCTTGTCTCCTTCCCACCCCTGTAAATCCCAGGGAGCTGGTACCCCCCAGGGCAGAGGGAGGTTACAGATACCTCCTGCACTCCCCATGAACTCCTAAGAAAGGTGTTCCCCACAGGATTTCCTCATTTTAGCAAAAAAAAATCCCAAATCCTTGAAGCTCCCTGGACAAGCTGCATGATCCCAGCATCTCACTGAAGAGGGAAAAAAACCTCAGGAAAATCAGGTTAGCTTTGGTTTAGCTGGTTCACTTCCAGTTGCCCCATTGCCTCGCCATAAACACTTACTGAGGGGAAACCGGGATCTTTCCATCTTCTGGAAAAAAAACCAAACCTCCTCTTTTCAAGGACTAAATACTGAGACTAATTATAACCTGATTAGCTGCAGGTTTGAGTAGTTAGTGCCCAATGAGCACATCAACACCTGCAACAAATCACCTGTGTCCTGTTGCTTTCCATTTTAATAATGAGGATGTAAACAGTTCCCATCGGTTTCACCTTCAAAATTCACCCCTAACTCTTCCTCCCCCTCCACCCCCAACCCTGAAATAGTTCCGTGGTGCCAAGAGGGAGTCACCTGGTAGTTCATTATGGCCCGCAGGCACATGATGCAGACGTGAACATCGTCCTTTTTGCTCACTAATCGGGAGTTTTTGAGCGTCCTCCGGCTCGGCAGGGTGTTGTACCTGCAGGGAGAAACAGCTCCCATCAGCCACGCTGCTGCTTTTGGGGGGGTCAGGAGAAAGGAAGAGAAATATCAGAAGGAAGGAAGGTGTTTTTCTCAGGTGGACACGGGGCAATGCTGATGGAAATAAAGCAGGAGAAGGGGCTGGGATGTTCACAGGAAAAATCCAGAGCAGGAGCTGCAGTGCCAGTGCAGGGGACAGTAAATGTTCATAACAAAGACATGAACAAGTAACACCACACCGATTTATCATGATTCACTATCAGCCTCTGACACAAACGCCTCCAAATTCCCTCCCTTCAAACATCCAAACCAAGAGGAACGAGGGGGGTCGTGGAGCCCTGCCCGTGGAGAGCCCACAACCCTCAGCAACTCCCCCCCTCCTTGGCTTTCATTTTCCAGCAGTGCCAAGATGAAAGAAATCCCAAAATTCAAAGCAGGATTCAATCAAACGACTTTCCCCCCCCCCCCCCTAAATATGAATGAATAAATCAGCTCAGGGCACTGCAGGCGGATTTGGGGGCTGTGGGAAGGATGACCCAGTTCTGGCTGAGAACAGAGGGTGCTTTAGGCTGAATTTCAGCGAGTGGATCCTGAGGAGGGGACCAGGACTGTGCCCATGGATCAGCTCACTGCCCACACACACCCTGCACCTCCCAAATGTCCCAAAAGAGGAGCAGAGCAGCCTCGAACTGGGAGTCTGAACTGGGAAGTGTGGAAGTGCTGCCAGTGCTGGCTGGAGAACGTGGAACCCCACCACATCAGCCCATTTCAGACAGTCATTTCACCAAGTAAGAAAACATGGCAATGAAAGGATTTTAAAGCCATTTCTAGTCAGAGATTGTCCCTACGACGACTCATCTCAGCTTTAAACCACTGAAGGCTGCAGACATCCTTTTCCTTTAAATTTTCAACCAGCAGATTAATGAGATCTTTATCGTGGCTCTGATAGGAGAAAAAAAGTTCCTCGGTGTACCAGCTCCTAAATTTCAGAATGGCTTTACCCACCTGGCAGTTAAGAAGGGGGGGAGTCAGTGCTGGTTGTTGTCCAGTGACACTCAGAGCCCACAGACTGGGGCAGGTTGGAGGGGACCACAGTGGGTCACAGCTCCAGCAGTGAGATATCCCAGAGATATCCCAGCCTGTTCTGGGATGTCTCCAGTGAGGGAGACTCCACACCCTCTCTGGGCAACCTGTCACCTCACTGTTCTTCCTCGTGCTCAGGTGGAACTTCCTGGCATCACTTTGTGCCCATTCTCTCTTGTCCTGCTGCCTGGCATCACCATGAAGAGCCTGGCCCCACCCTACTGGCACATTCCTACTCCCACCCGTGTCAGAATCCCACTGGGATGAGACCCAGGCATGGGATCTGCCCTGGAGAGCAGGTCCAAGCCCTCAGCCCTGGATGGGATCGTGCCCTCCATTCCCAGCCCTTCCCCTCACCAGATGCCAAGAATTAACGGGGGGTTTTTGCACAGCAGCTCCTGAACAACCACCCCACACAGCAGAGCTGAGGCTGGAGATGCTTCCCCTGCACTGGTGGTGATCCCAACGATTCCCAGCGTTTCTGCTGCCTCCCCAAAGCAGGGCAGGCTGCATGAGCTCCTCCTGCTTTTCCTTCACTCCTGGTTCCTGAACACTTGGCCGAGCCCAGCATCTGGATGACTCGTTGGGTTTGATTTCCTGTCTGCTGCAGGTCAAGGATTATGTCACCACCAGTATATTTATCCTGCTAATTCGATTCAGATGGTTCCTCTTTTATTTCCTCGGCCCCTCCTTTAGAGGGGAACCATAAACCCTTTTTGTCCCAAAAAAAAAAGCAGGGGCAGAAAAGCTGAGCCTGTGGAAGCTCCTGCAGTGG